TATGGAAGATAGCTTTGATCCAAACATTCTTTTGCAAACCAAAAATGGAAATAATTATGCTCTTGAATCTCTGACTACTTCTATAGTTGAAACAATAACTGCCTCAGTACCGAAATGCGTGGTTAAATTTGAAGCAATTATAATAGAGGACGATCTTCAGCTCTTGATCCGTCTTAAAAATGTCCGTAGGAGACAATATCAAAGAACACGCGATCTTGCCATGAAAGTTATCCGGCGGGATTTGCAAAAACAAATTAAAAAGCGATTCTCTGTCCTGAGGAACAAAACTTTTGAAAATAATGTTTCAAAATTAGACCCAAGTTCCAAACCCTTTTGGAAACTCACAAATTTTTTGAAAAAACCTCAACAGCCAGCGCTTAAAGAAGGTGGTAAAATTTTGATCGCAAATTCGGAAAAAAAAGCTCAGAAACTAGCTAAGCAGTTTACAGTTGCTTCACAGCGATATAAATGTGAAAAAGCTTAGGCGTCCACGTCTTAGTTCGCCTTTTTATCCACCTAAAATATTCATAAGTATTACAAGCGATCAAGAGTTAATGACCAATCAACAAAGCATCCTATTACACTAGCAACCCCGCAATCTGATGCTATCATAATTTTCAGCAATGTCAGGAATGCTCACGAACCCCCAACATTTGCCAAAAAACTTACTACTTACTCAAGGTATCTTCCAAATAAGCTTCAAAATTGCATTTTTTTTTTATCAAATGTTAAATTCAGTTCTCTATATCCGTAATTCGCGCGCGTAGACTACTTTTTTTTTTAATTAATCTACTACTATTAAATCAAATATTCAAAATCCATCATCATTATCGTGGTGAACAAAACTAGTTATTGCAGTGCTACAATAATTATTAAAAAGTCGTTATGACAGCTATCCATATAAAATAATCCGTTAGAGATAACTTCGACAAGATACATAATTTGTCAATTCATAAAAAAAATCACTGGATAACTGTTCAAAAGACAGTTTTGACGTGTGAAATGCAATGTCTCTTAAATTCTGTAAGTGTTGCTGAACGTTTGATATGTCTAGGCATCGAATTGAAACCATTTATTCCTTTAAGATATAATGAATTCTATGAAGCACAAGTCAAGAAATTTGATGTTCTTATTTCATCCGCGTTTCTAGTATTATATCTATGAAAATCACTTTCCTTTTTAATTAGATCACACAAATATCGAGGCAGTAAACCGTTAACTAGTTTAAAAATGAACACCATAGTCAAATACACAATTCTTTGCTTCACCGACAACCAGTGTAAGGCGTCTAGCATCAAAGTTGAGGAAATGAATCTATTGCATCTCAAAATCATACGCATTATTTTATTCTGCAAGCGCTGTAATCTCGATATTTGTGTAATAGAAATAAAATGGAAAGGCAAAAGTCTAGATGAGGAGAGATGATTGATTTGTATAGCTGTATTTTACTGGCAATAGTTAAATCGTTTTTCAGTCGACATAAACACTTAGAAAAATTCATGTTAATTTAGGTGCTCTGAGAGTGACACATACGAGCCTCAATTTTGACATAAATTTAAGTCATAACAGACACGAAATATAGCTTAATCAAACGCACTTTTCGTCGAGCAACGAACTTTTCAGTCTCGGAGCACTTAATATTACATGACATATTTGTTTACGTCTCATCTTTTATGTCAAAGATGGATTCTCACGTGTAAAGTTAGTTATTTCTAAGTGTGAACTCAAGTTTTTCATCAATAATCACGCCAAGATATTTAATCTCCCGAACGCGATCAATAGTCTCATAATCAATTACAACAGAGACGTTCTCATTTAATCGATTCCGCGAAATTACCAAAAATTTAGTTTTACTTGTATTCAATTTCAACTGCTTATACTTCAACCATCTACTAAGAGAACGCAAATCTTCATTCAAGTGTTAAACGGCATCATCTAAATCCTTAGCTGCAATGAATAACACAGTATCATCTGCAAAAAGATTAATGTCGTAAAATCGTAAAACACGTCGCATGTCATTAGTATACATAATAAATAACAGGGGCCCTAATACACTTCCCTGAGGCACTCCAAAGTTATTCCCCGCGGGACTGGAAACAGAATCATTAAAAACAGTCCGTTGAGTTCTGTCAGACAAATAGCTTTCAAACCATTTATATGCAGTACTCGTAATTCCAAAGCGCTTGATTGATCTTAATGTGTGCAACATGTTGATGGGAAGAAACTCTTCGGCTTTAATCGTTCCAGCAACTTTTTGAACAGGGTCCACTAAGGATTCCTTCCAAATTTGTGGCACATGTCCAGTTTGTAATGATTCATTAATAAGGTCCAGCAAGATGTGGCCAATGACATGAAAGCAATCTTGAATAACTCTAGCATTAACATTTTCTACTCCAGCCGATTTTCCTAATGAAAAACAAATAACTCTAAGTTCATCTAATGTAATTGGGTGAAAAACTTCAAATCTACAACTACTATTAACTGGCTGTTTTATTTCGTTAGTTTCATCGACCAATTCAATGGATTGATTTATCAATGAAACACTGTCTACAAAATAATCATTAAACTTAGCTGCAATTAATTGTTCTGACTGCTCTAATGTGCCATTAAAAGTTATGGACCGCGATTTGCAATTACTAGGTTTTAATAAAGATTTCAAAATTTTCCATAACTATTTGCTGTCTGCATCAAAACAGCTGATCAATCTTCCTTTGAACTTATTCACAACGAGTTTTTTTTTAATCGATTGTGAATACTTATTACGCTCGATTGTGTACCTATTCCAATGATTGTCATTATTTGATCTACAAAACTTGTTGTACCATTTGTCCCTTTTCAGTTTAAGATGCAAGAGATCCAAATTGTACCAGCTGTTCGAATTTTTCAAAGAAACAAACTTTTCAAAGCGTTATAAAGAACAGCTGTAGATTCATGTAAGTTACCGGCCGCGAATGGAAAATCCACGTTCCTCTCAACAAAATTCGAAAGAGCTTGCTTCGAATATTTCCTCCATCACTTCAATTTTACAAAATTATCGTTAACATGGTCTAAGACATTAATCACTAAAGTCTCATGGTCGGTTATTTTCAAATCAGTATCCGTAACTGAACAAATGGAATCAAAATTGGAATAAACGTGGTCAATTTAAGTTCTACTGTGCCATGAAATACACGTATACTCATTTACCGTTGGCTTCAAATTAAAAAAAAAAACAAACTTAGCTAAACCCATCAAATGATTCGAATTATGGTTATCACGCCAATTAATGTTAAAATCACCAGCTAATATATTTAATTTACTTGAATCAAGGAATGTCTCGAGCCAGTTCTCTAAAACTTTAGCAAAACGCTGGCTACTAGAACTGGGAGAATGATACAAAACACCATAATTACCCATCTTCATGCCACGTACAACTGTAATGCACAAGAACCAGTTGCCATCAATAACTCGTTGGTACAAAGGTTGAATTAAACAGATTCTTTGACAAAAATAGCAACACCGCCAGTGTGTCTAGAATGTGATAAACAAGCAGCAACAATATATCCTGGAATACAATACTGATCAAAAGCTTCATTTTCTACAATGTGAGTTTCAGATAAGAAAACTAAAAGAGGATGTTTTTCCTCAACAATCTGACGTAATGCTACGTAGTTTGTTGACAACCCCGCAATATTCAAGTATAAAAAATCGAATTGATTCACATTCCTGGAACTTGGCTGCTATTTATTGAAACGCAAGCTGCTTTTCTTCTGATCAAAAAGTCTTTTATAGAGCAAACATTCAGACCTAAATGCGGCATGGTTGACGTTCAAGTTCATTTTAAGTTCTTTATTGATTTTCAAACAATTAACAATCAAATTACAAATAATGGATTATTAAGAACCATTACCATTCAAAATAGTTGTTTGTTCCATACATTTTCGGAAAAGGAATTATATTAAAACCTTTTTATTTATGATTTGAGAACTTTAATGGTAATGGTTATGGTAATCAGTAAGGTCCATGGATGGTTTTGTATTGTCGGTCAACTTTACGTGGTAATTATTAATTTACAGGCAACCTATTTGCGATATATTCCACATAATGTTGATCGATGTTACAAAACCATCCATGGACCTTACTGATTACCATAACCATTACCATTAAAGTTCTCAAATCATAAATAAAAAGGTTTTAATATAATTCTTTTTTCCGAAAATGTATGGGGAAAACAACTATTTTGAATGGTAATGGTGCTTAGGAACCCATTATTTTTAAGGTCTACTTCTAAAAAATCATAATAATAATCATACTTCCAAAAAACCATAACACATAAGGCTAAAACTTTATCACGCAAACGTTCATGTAAACTTCCATAAACATTTCAGTTAAAGTTAAGCAGGGATTACAAACAATTTTTAACCAGTTTTGGTAAGGCCAAGCAATGGTTCGCATTTATACGGGTAGTTCATCTCCGAAGGTCTAAATATGATTGACGACAGTAAATACATTTTTTACCCGGACAGGAACCCTGCTCTTTCTTTAATAAAGCCTCAAGTTGCAAATCAAAGCCCTGCAAGTTCATAACAAATTGAATTCTGTTGCCAAGCAAATATTTAAGAGGTGTTGTATATGACCGAGCCGCGAATGAACTGTTTACATTTGCTCATGTGATCTCACAAACTCCTAAAGGAATCTAATTCATTTGGTGCTGCATAGTCATGGAATTGAATGAATTTCAATTTCCAACCGTGCTCGCTTGCCCCAACAGACTCGATCATATCGGCTCTGTTATCGTCGTTCGTGGGTTCAACCGACACACCGAGAGCCGATCGAAACACTCAGCATTCCACCACTCTGGCTCTTTATCCACATCCGCAATTGCACACGCGCTTGGTTCGTTTGATGCACGATCATCATCTAGGAGGTTCACGAGAGAGAGAGAGAGCCCCCAAAACTTTCTTTCTTAAGATCTACCACCAGCCGGCCGTGGGGGAAAAGGTGGACCGTTGGAATTTCTTCGTCTTCATTCTGTCTAGTGCCGTCGAGTAGGACGGACGTGGAAGGTCTTAGCTGTGAGCCCTAGCAGCGTTGTTCATTAGTGGTGTTTGGAGAAAACCTCAAGCGGAAGAGTATTCCAGCGAAAGCAGTCTCGAAGAGGAGAAATAATAAAGCAGCAACCGACGAGGAAGAGCAAGACAAAGAAGGAGTTTGTGATCTGAGGAAATTAAAAGCAACTCTTGAAAATTTCTTCCAATCTCTTGTGGCACTCGGTAGTGTGACTCTCCTGCTTGGATGGTGGTTTAGTGTGTGTGTTAGGGAAACGGTGGACACACATCGGAGGGTGAAAGAAAGTACGTTTAAGCCCCCCCCCCCATCCCACCGCACCTTACCCCGGAGCACGGAGCTCGAGTGGCGCATTTTGAAGATCAGTTAGTGGAGAGTGAGAGATGAAACTGTTGCTGCACAGGTTTTGTTTTTAAGGAAAATAAAATATTGGTTAATGTGTGTCAGTTGGTTGATAACTATTAAAACCGAGTTTAGCGTCTTTCTCTTGGCTGCTTTCCTTGAGAAGCTGATGAATTTCAGATAAGTTTTCGAAAATTAAATCAAGAGAAACGAAGAGGAAGGTGAAATCGAACAAGCCGATAATGACTCCAAAGTGCCAATCGGGAAGGGTCTGGATTTAACGAATTGACACTAAGCTTCGAACAAATTAACGTGATTTCACCGAAAAATTTGATATTTAAATATCTGGAAAAGACTGTCTCGTAAGGCTGACGGCATCCCGGTCCAAAGTAAAAGCGAAAATAAATAATAATAAAAAAAAACAGGAAGTGCTAAGTAGTGATGACAAACTCGTGCAAGTGGGAAAAGCAGTGAAAGCCTATCCTCCTATCAATCGTGCAGAAGAAATCGAAAACGCTACTGAAGAAAACAAGTTGACCGAGAAAACAAGAACAGGTTCGTCGCTTGCTGGATGACAAATTGAAGTCTCTCTCTCCCGTTTCGCTCGGGTGGATCTTTACAAACATTTCTGCAGACACTGAGCCGTACAGGGCAGTTGGTCAAGCGTAAGGACTGGAGATTTCCCCTTTTCGGGCGAAAAGAAACGTCTAACGTCAGCAAACGACAAGTTCAGACTCGACGGCGGATTAGAGCGAGGAGATTTTTGCGCGCCGAAGAAACCTTGAAAAGGTAAGCTGTTTTGATTTGAGAGATTTTTTTTTGAATGCAAATAGGTATTTGAAGAGGTGGCTTACGCTTGGTTTGCTGTAAGACGTGGACAGTTTGACGTTATATTTATGGTTTTATATAATTGCACGCCAAATGTTTTTTAATTACAAGATTTTGTCGGTTTTTGACTGATGATATTTTTGTTTTTGAATAGTTTATTTAGGTTTTCAAATAATTTACAAAAATCTAGCTATTAAATTTTCTATGGAGGACTTAAAGAATAGATTTATTTTATAATTTGAGTGCAACTTAAACTGAAGTGATTTTTGATTCCGTAATGCACCGAATACCAGCAGTTTGTTAATCTGGACATTTAATGTTACTTTAAATATTGCGTCTACTTTGAAACTTAATAATAAACTATTAAAGGTGTCCGGATTTGTGGACTAGGTGCCCTAAATTCGAGCCTTTAAGATTTTACATTTAGAATTTGCATTTAAAAAATTAAAGCAATAAGATTTCAACACGACACGTCATCTCATCAATATCCTTGCAATGAAAAAGTGCATCGTATTAACTCAGTAGAACTATTTTCAAAATTAAATATGTATATGTACCTTATCGATAACTACAAAATCGAGCTGCATTTACTACAAACCATTTCGGTACTAATTATGGCAAATGTGGACCCTTAAATCAAATGATAGCTTCTTAAAACAAGCATTGCGAATCTATTGTCTTTATGTTGGTAAAAATTAAATTGAAGAACAATTTTAATTCTCACGCTAAAGGTCATGAGTTCAAATCTCATCCCAGGACAAGTAACGAATGATCTAAAATGTGTTAAAGTGCCTATAATACAAAAATCAAGATACGCCTAGGCGTCTAGTTTTTTGCTTATTCTAGTTTTTAGATCCGTATAAGACGACATATTTAATATGCGATGATCATTCTAACAAACCGGTCTTCTACACGCTTAATTTTTGTCATCAATAATAAGATAATTGGGTAGTTGAAATTTATAGAATTTCTTTTTACTTTTCATGAATTTTGAATTTAAAGAGCAATAGTTCACCATTGGGTTGGTAAGCTCAATTTTGCGCACAAATTGCTCATTTTTTAATAACTCTTAATTAACGATCTTGACGAAACATGGTTAATCTTGAAGCTTCTATTATAAAAGAGTATGAGTTAAACACAATAGATTTGTATTCGGGCGAAAAGGTGCTCTTATTTTTGCGTCACAAAAACTAGAAGATAAATAATCGCTGCTCATTTCGGACTTTCAATTAAAAGACTCATTGGTGTGAATTTGGGGTCTCCCTTAGCTCAGTCGGTAAAGGCGCAGCTACAAAGCAAGGCCATGCTGGAGGTGGCTGGGTTCGATTCCCGGTCCGGTCTAGGAATTTTTCGGGTTGGAAAATTTCTCGACTTCCCTGGGCATAGAGTATGATTGGACTTGTCACACAATTATACTAATGCAAAAATGGTACAGGCATCGGAAGCGCTCAATTAATAACAGTGGAAGTGCATTTAGAACACTAAGTTGAGATAAGCTTGAAATGCGAAGAAGAAGAAGAAGAAGATGGTCTGAATTTAAATGTTTTATTGAACTACTCTATGTGAGCTCTGGACTGACTCCACATCAATTGGATAAAGTAAAACGAAGTTTCTCTAAGTGAAAATTTATAAACAAACGAGCAATTCGTGTAAAGAAAAAGAGCAAGGCAACTCAGGTTATGGCACTACTTATAATTTGCAAAAGTTTGGGGGATCGCAGTAGGCTCTACTCAAGAGTGGTTGATTTTCGTTTTGGCTGTCACGTTTTTGCTTTGGTTAGAATTTTCCCTTACGACCGTTGAATTTAAGTAAATGTTTCCAATAATGTCACTTGTTACCACCATATCCTGTGTTCGGTAGTTGGTTAAGTCATATACGCGAAAGTGTTCTTAAATAACCGGTAGAGGAGGATCCATTGTGTGCTAAGGAGGATATGTATGAGCAAGTGCAATCAAAATCAGGTTTGTTACAGATCATCCCGGTGAACCACGAAATGCGATGCAAAACGTGGAGATAAATAAAACTACGGAACCCATGGATTTTAGGATCAAATTAACACGGTGTGACCAGTCCAAATATTTTTTTACAATTTAAAAAATAAATAAATAAATAAATAAACTAAATATGTATCAGGGTTTCAAAAGAACATTTTGAAACTGGAAGCGGTTAACGGCGCCGGTGGTGTAGTGGTAAGCGTGATTACCTCTCACCCCAGCAGGCCTGGGTTCAATCCCAGTCGGCGCCGCCGGGATGTTCTGAGGCATAACATCTCTGATCACGCCTTTCTTCGGAAGGGAAGTAAAGCCGTTGGTCCCCGGTTCATGAGTTGATGGGTCGATAGGTAGGGTCCAGGTGTGGGAGCTGCCTTCCTGGCACGTCGGTAGCATTGGTACGGAAAACAAGATCGACGGAAAAAACAAACCAAAGGAAAAAAAAAGAAACTGGAAGCGAGTGTTCAATATTAATATCCAATTGATAGAGGTAATATATACATGCGGGACTTTTTGTAAATGAAAGTAACCTCGTGTCTTTACAAACATTCTGAAATGGGTTGCTGGATCTGCAATAGAGCTATCACCATCTAACTCCCGGACTAAAACTGTCTACAATGACTATAAATGCGACATTTTAGAGAGAGAGTTCTTCCATAATAACGCTGCCGGCCAGTGGGGGTTAGATGGAATACACACACACACTTCTAATTTGCAAAAGTTTTGGCATGTACCATGGCCTATGTGACTTAAAGGAGAAGGGTCAAATCTGGTATAATCGCGTATCTGGTTGTTGAAAGATGTTTTTTTTTTCAATAAATATATGAAGGTCATATAATTTTATTCTTATTAAAAATAATGACAACTTTTTCCAAACGTTAGTAAATTTTAGAGTCGAGGGCATATCGATGTAATATCAGCGCAGTTAGATTTTCATCCCAAATGGTCAACTTTGACGTACACTGACTCCACAATTATGGATCAGCCAAAAACAATTATGGATCAGCAGTCTAGCTTGTTAATTAAATGGAAATGGTCCATAATTGTGGGATCAGTGTATTGTAACATTGGTCTATAATGAACAATTCGGCTGTAATTTTGGCTGCAGAACTAAAATACAGGGTGGGTTCGATTTGCAACACTTTTCAAATATCTTAAATTTGGTTGTGCCCTGAACTTTGCAATCCTAAACTCCTTAGATTTTCCAGATAATAGTGAAGTTTTGGACGTGATCAGATAAAATTAGGTTGTAATCGTGCGTTGCCAATTTTTTTTAAACACGTGTCGAAAAGTGTAAGGTGCTTTTTGAACATAATCAAAATTATATCTGTTTTTCAATATTGGATATTGAGTTTTAAAATATCATATAAATTAACTTATGGGCAGAGTAACTGCTATTCAAAATAATGTAGATGTACCAGTTATGGATATTCGTTCCTATAATTTATTTATTTATTCGTCAATCAATCAAATCGTAGACTACATATTAACATTAGGACTTATGTTCTATGACTTCGCAGGCTTCTGAAATGTATTTTTAATTCTGTTGAGGGCATATTTAGGTCAATCATTTTACAATGATGATTATAAAAAGTCATCATCTGATTTACCGGTCAAAATTTAGCGTAATTGGTCCGATGGCGATCTACTGCGAACAACTGTCGATTGCGTAATTGTCGGGAAGGTGCATACAAATTTAACCTTGACAATAGATCAGCTGAGTCAATGCGTTGCGAAATGATATTGTTTAATTAAGAAATCTTTGCGTAATCCCGAAGTTATTTCAATGTTTGAATGCTGATCAGCAAGCAACGTGCTTCATATGACGGGAAAGGAAAAGCCGTCCAACCTAACTTACGTAGTGCATATAATAAAAATTGCTTTTGGATTGACTCTATTCGTTCTTCATGCTCTTTCATGTAGGGTGACCAAACAACGCTACAATATTCTAAAATTGACCTCACATAAGCAACGTGAAGTGATTTTATTGTAAAAGGATCTTTAAAGTGGAGACCGAAACGTTTTATGAAATTAAGCATATTGCCTGCTCTGTGTATTATTGTGTTATAATGGTCCACAAATGTCAATTTAGAATCTAGAATAACACCTAAATCTCTTACATTTTCACATATTTCAACATTTTTATTACCTAATGTAATACAAAGATTTTGTTTGTTTAGTTTTTTACTGAACGTTATAAGATTACATTTTTTAATTTTAGTTTCAATAAACTTTTACTACACCATCTGTAAAAAACATGTATTTCATTCTGAAACACATTCATATCGTTATCGCTTCCTATTTCTAAAAATAGATTCATGTCATCAGTTTATATAAGCACCCTGATATTTTTTAAAATAAGAGAAACGTCATTAATGTACAAAATAAAAAGAAGGGGACCTAGGTGCGAACCCTGGGGAACCCCTGACGTGACATGAATTGGCTTAGATGTTTTCTCGTTGAATCCTACAATTTGCTGGCGATACGATTTAATCCAGGTGAGGAGCTCCATCTCAATTCCCATTTTTTTCTAATTTAAAAATCAGCATTGGGATATCAATTCTGTCAAACGCTTTGCTAAAGTCTGTATATAGAGCTTCTACTTGGTTACCTCTGTCCATTGCATTTAATACGAAGTCCACAAATTCCAAAAGGTTTGTGGTGGTTGAACGGCCTTTAAAAAAGCCGTGTTGTGCACTAGTTATTCTTTGTTTTATTTTTATATATAGGATTTTTACCTGATTTATATATGGGTATTAAGTAAGATTTTTTCCATTCCTTCGGGAATATACTGGATTCAAGACATAATGGTATGTTCCAGTTTTGAACTATAGCTCTTGAAAAATATTTTCTACGATGAGATTTCAATAATCAACTTTGTTTGACGATTCGATTTTCAGATTTTGAAAGGAGTATTGCTCAAATGTGTTTATGTGATGTCCATGAGCTACAAATTATTTGAGGAAAGAA